CAAACTTAAGCAAATGCAACCCAATCATTTTAGAAATACCTTCGCTGAAATTGCACAATCGTATTCGTGATTGGAGCTAAATGACGCTCACTTTTGCCTCCCCTTACTGCCGACATCACTGCCTTCCATGGAGACAGTTACATCCCAGCTCAGACTTCCACTTTCAATGTTCACCTAATTCTACCTTTCAGAGCTGCCATGACAGCGACAATAAAGGTGATAGTTTGACAACCGGGAACACATCTAAATTTGAAAGCGAACCATCCTTCTTCCCAATAAAAACTTCTCCTGATGGTGATAATTTTTTAAACCTAAAAAGTTGTAATAGGCGTATCCGTTCAGAATTTTTACCCGGAAAAGTGGACCAAACAGACATTGATAAATTCCTTGAATTAAAACCTGAATTAAGGATTGATGACATAAAGAAAAAATTACCAATAGAATTTCGACATCATGCAGCGCATTTTTTGCCAAAGTATGCCAACACACTGCCGCCACACCGATTCTGGGATCATAAAATTGAAATTATGCCACGTAAGTAGGTATCTCACCGTAAAAACCGACCATTATCTCCAGCGGAACTTCTCTGCATAAAAAAAGGATTAATGAGATGCTGGGAAAGGGATTCATTCTGGAATCCTCCTCGCCCGCCGCTGCCCCTCTCCTTCTTGTCCCCAAACCATCTAACGGCGTTAAGAATCTGTCAGGATTATCGCGGTCTCAATGATATTACCATAAAAAACTGATACCTGCTTTCTCTAATTCGGGAAATACTGGACCCAATAGCGGGCGCCCAGCTTTATACTAAACTGGATGTCATTGCTGCTATTAATCGCATTGTCAGAATAAGATTCTTGTATACGAGTGGTACGTAAGTACTGGAAGTAGAATTGATAAAGTATTGAGTTAATCTATCGTGTATGACTCGCGATCGCAGCATCCTTCAATGCTGCGCCCATACTCCTATTAACATGTGTCAGCCAGCCTCGTCTATGCGTTAATACGGAACTACTAATACAGGCTTTCTAAGATCTCCAAGCGCCTTACCCTCTATACTCCTAAGTAATAAATACAACCATAACTCCATTATGTTCAGGTGTAGGAATGATTATGTTTGACCAACAATCTTATAAATCAACACGCATCCGTATTGCCGAAGAATTTGAGTGGATGACAGCATTTACTAGGCGGTTCGGACTGTACGAACTGCTGGTTACGCTACTAGGCTTATGCAATGCGCCTGCAACATTTCAAAACTATATTAATCATATTCTGCATGACGCGCTAGATCAGTATTGCACTGCATATTTTAATGACGTTCAAAGGTTATAAATCTAGACTCAGTATTTATAAAGGTTTCGATTTCTAAGTATGATCATCAAGATCATTTGAGTTGATTCGATTGAATATGATCAAGCTCAGTTGGGCGAAATAAGGTTCAGTGGCCGGTGGTGCTCTCTACGAACCTGGGAGTGAAATATTCTCCCAGAGCCAAGTTCAGTCAAATTTTGCAATACCGAACAAATTGGCCCACGAGGCAATGATTCAAATATCTCCACCATGTCAAATTTTCATTCCAAAAAATATCGAATCCTACCTAAGCCTCATCAAGTTTACAAGTACGACCTAGTACATCCTCATTTCAATGACCACACCTCTCGCCGACCTTCTCTGGCCTCAGTCGGTCACCAAATTCACGCCCATGCCGATATTTATACCCGACGGAGGAGGCAAAGCGTGGCGCACAAATCTGGGAGACAGTTCTTTGGGATGGACGTGAGAAGATTCAGGACAAGTTCAACAAGATGATGCGAATGATGGCAACAGTCTCGACGGGCGTGGAATTTTGAATATTGGAAAGGAGTTTTTACAAATTGAGCTTTGTGCGTGCCAAGGCTTCGGTTGCGAGAGTGCAGGCGACACTATAAACACCGCCATGGTTGGATGGTGCAGTGGTACATCGTCTTGGTCGGTCTGCCAAGTAGAGTCTGGATAGCTTGGACACATATCCCACTTGAGACAGTAGATCGCTGGTTCAAATCCAGCAAAACACAACCACATTTCTCGCGGCGCTGGTATGCATGGATGACGAAGGCATGCTTGGATAACCAAAGGTTTCGAAGTTCCCTTTGGTGGGTACTTGCGGAGGAGGGTCGACTGTTTGTGTAAGCAAGCATTCCTCATAGTGGTATTTGCGAATGAAATCCAAAGTATGAGTGTGTTTTAAAGGTAAGAGCTTACGGAGGTTAATTGGCAGAAGGTTTACGGATGATTATCGATGAATCAATGTGAACTGCTGATATATTTGATACTCAGAACTATGAGGATTTAGGAGGCAGAAAGCGCTAGTTATATACACATCTGAGGTAGCTAGACTCTCGCCTCATTTACCCAAAATAGTATCACGGAATATTCTAGTCTCCTCCATCTGGCAGTACAATCAAGAAACACTTTCTATACAGTGCTCTATTGTTCCTCTATTCATCATGAAGCCACCTGGAAAGTTCTTCCTTCACCCTCAGTGATCATTACCCTTATGCATCGTAATCCTAGGCATCACCAGCACAACAGAGTGTCTCTAATGTCAAAAGAGTCATCCAACGTGTATACATAGCACCGGTTATGTGTCATAGCTTTATAGCTGAATACACATTAAATGATTAAAAAAAAAATTGAGGTTCAGTGGCTAGGAAATGCTATCTTGCGATAATTGAGTGGCTGGCTGTTGCTAAATCACTGGGATTTCTGGATCACTAAAGCCTTGAGATCTGTATTTAAGGATAGACTCATCTGTGTACTTAAAATCAAGTTAACAGAACACTATACGTTTGAATTTTGAATTTGAATTCATTTAGCCCGATTTGGCGCCCTATGGGCTCATGCAGGTGTCTACGAACTTTAATATTTACTTAGGAGGAAACCTTGCAGTAAGAATCCCCTTAGCTGTCTGATTGGACTCTACGCCATTATAGTCTTACCTCTAGGAAGTGCACTTACACTGTTGTTGCCAATGTGGATTCCGTCCTTGTCCTGTGTTTCCATTTTCCTCTTTTCGCCTGATTAACGCCTCGATTTCTCCGGTCATCCGAAACTGCTCTAGCCATCCTTCCTTTTGAATCCACTGTGCAATTGTAGTCACATCTTTGACGTTATTTACCATAGCTTCGAAAGATCGGGTAGTCAATTTTCGTAGCAACTCACCTCGTCCCTTTGCCCATCTTGGACAAGACATCACCATGTGCTTTATATTTTGGGACGGATATCCACATTGGCAGCATGGTTTTCCTACGCCTGGCACATTCCTTCCGTATAGGTAAGCATTAAGCCCAGTGTGCCCGCTTCTTACTTGTGTCGCAATGCTGCTCTGCGCCCTGCTAAGGTTTTGGTGGACTTGGATAGGTGTCTCTCCGTAGTTCATCATAAGTCTAGACTTTTTCTTCTTCTTTATCAACGAAGAGGACATCACTGACATGTATTGAGAAAAGTCTGTTTTACTTGGTATATGAAATGGGAATGTACACTTGCGCTGGAACAGCTAAGACAGTATGTGGAGAGATGTCTTCATTAATGTGCAGAAGTGAAGTGACCATGATAATAATTATGTTACAGATTGGGGGAAGCTCGTCCCTTATCCCCTAGCTTGTTTCCCTGTAGACCAATCACGTTACCAGTATGCAGCTCACCAAAGTGTGCAACCAACTGAGCAGCCATGCCATTTATCCTATATCAACAACCCATCTCTCATACTGCACACATTCCTACTTGTAATGTCGTTATGTAGAGACTGGATCTCCTTCATGTGCCATGATGCCATGCTGCCATAATAACTACCTATGCACCAGCTACTAGATCTACCATACTACATAGCTGAGCATAACAAAGTCTCCCCGTTATTCCCTGTGGCTGGTTGGCATGGAATAGGTTACACGCTGAAAGGGTAAACCTCAAGCAGTATCTTCAAGTGAAATCTTTGTTTAAGTGTTCCAGACGAAAATATTGTTTGTTCTACATAAAATACATGTCTTCCGAAATCACCTATGTGGGCCTTAAGGCGCCATGTCAGGATGGTTGATTTATTTATCTGTTTTTAATGAGATATAATGACATTTCGAAGACGAATTGACGAATTCAAAAATAATGTCAGCAACTGATGGCAGTCTAGTTCTACTCGCATTACATAACCTTTTATGAAGACGTTAGAGACCTCTTAACCACGCGACCAAGACCTACGCAATCCTATTTTAAAACTTCGAAATTATCCCCGCTATTCATCGGAGAGTCAATTAGCGCAACTGGATTGAATTACCGTTTTGAGGAAACTATCCTTATCAACTCCAATACGTCTCAATCAGCCCTGAAGACTTCATATTGTGATCCAGGTTAATTATATTTGATCCCATTTGTTTAAGGCAACAAAATTCAATCATATGTGAATTAGATGCCGGTCACATGTATAAAAATTAGGGACGACTGTCTCGTCACCTTGCTATCCGAGAGAGCTACATAAAACATACTCTAAACTGACAAATAAATCACGTTATTGGCAAGAGTTTCTTGTTTAGTACATCATTTTACCCTTCATCGCCGACACATAAACCCTGTGTTCGAAAATGGAGTCGAATAAATCTATGTCAATAGTACGCAAGTCTTCCGCCATGGAAATAATGATGCCTCCACCAAAACGAATTAAGAGACCGAAAAATGTCATCGACGAAGAATCTTACACACAAGGTCTTTCGGAGATAATCGCACGAGATTTTTTTCCCGGTCTTTTTGAGTTGGAAACAAAGCAAGAGTATCTAGATGCGCTCGAATCACAGAATGAGGCCTGGATCACAAGCGCAAAGCGCCGTCTCGAGCAAGTGATGATGCGGGGGAAGCAACACGGACGACGTGGCACATCATTACAGACTCCTTTGGGAGACTCCGAGAATACCAAAGAGTTAGCCACGAAATTATCCTCAAATTCAAGGGTCGATGATCTATCGATTGATACAAATATGAGCCTCGATAGCTTTCAATCAAAATATACGAGTGAGGATAATGAAAGTTTTTATAAGCTATTAGACAACCAAAATCGAAAACGGGCACAGAAATACGCCTGGATGTGGTCTGCAGGAAATAAACTTCCTTCAAAAATGATGTTAAAACAAAAAGAGATAGAGCTGAAGTTAATTCAGTCTCGAAGCTCTACAGGCATTGATGAACGTGAGGTTTCCAAATATATATCAGAGGATAGCCGTCAAAGTTCTGTTCAAGGATGGAAATCGAAACCTAATAATGGATTAATGTTTATACCAGATGGCGTGGAGGACGCTGTGCAGACGATCGCTCGTAAGGCTCAAAATGAGTCCAGAGCAGCCCCAAAAGGTATATCTTACGCTAGTACTAGGATGTTTGAAACCTTTGATGAACCTAGAAGCAGAGACTCAAGAACTCTGACGCCGCAATTAAAACCAGACATAGGAAACCCTTGCTCAACAAATAGAACCGGGCTCGATCAAGCGTCCCAATGCAAAGATAGTGAAATGCCTCATGTTAATGGATATACCTTTGTTGATGATGAAGACGAAGAAGAATCTGAGATACCGCAAGAAACAAAAGTTCTAAACTTCGCAAAAGATGATTTGTCTAGAAATCCCTTCACAATAAAAGCGCAGAGCCATAGAGAAGACTTACTTCGTCGTATTGTTGATAAGACTGCAAAAAGTAAGCGGCAATCCACAATAGATGGGTTTACAGGAAGAGTTGAGCAGACTCCTGTTCCAAAATTTCCGAGCAGTCCTAAAGTTGGAGCAAGTCAACTCACTCCGGCAGCAAAACGTCTTTGGGGCCAAGTTGGAACTAGAACCACCGGTATTACTCATGCTTTTGAACCCACTCGACACAAGTCTGGATTACGGAACCGTTGGACACCGAGCTAAAAATAAGGATTTATATAATCGACAAAAGCCATTTTCGAAGTCTTTAAAAATAATAGCTGCCTATATCTATTTTATTAAATAGATCAGTCTTCATCATCTTCAACACACCTTTCACTCGTACTGCAAAGCTAGCACATAGTCTTGCAGTAATAAAAATACACACCATTTTTTATCTACAAAAATTAACGCTGTGCAAACCGTGACTAGTCATTTGATCAAAAGAAAAGTTACATTCCTACAGCCAGTTTTTTTTGTGGAACGACAAATATTAGCTTAGTATGAATCTATATATCTTGACACGAATTGTCATGCTATTGCAGGCAGACTCTCACATGCCCACCCAAGTAGAACTTAATGTATTTCTTGCACAGTTTCTGAGTCAACTAGAATCTCAAACTTATTTGTAAGTTGGAGATTTCATCTTCCTTGAATATTAATTCAATTCTTGCTGACGAACATCAATAAAACATAGACCTATCTGTACCTCTTCGCGCTAACAAGAAATGATATAACAATATGAGTCGACACCACGATGCACTACGGACTTCTCTTCTGCTCACAGCATAAAATAAAAATTGAACAAATGTAAGCCTTTCATAGCTCTTAGATAGAGACCAACTGTCCAGCAAAATCCTTGAACCATAAAATTTCCCAGGAATACGCCAAGCATGAAATGAAAAGCAAAAATTTTAGAGTATGATAAATACCATGTATCAGGGTCGGAATTTTTGGCAAGCAAAATCACTGGCAAAAATTCAGCCCAGGTTTCTACGAAAACTTTCATCATTTTAATGAGTTACAGAGAGATTATCTCAAATCAAAAATGCGGCTTGAGTCGAATTCATCTTTACTCAAAAATACAAAGAATGATATCAGGAATGAAAAGCATCCTCTCCACATGAACTTGAAGACCAATCTCTACCTTAGATAGTTTTCCATATGTTTTTCGTAGAAGCATAAAAAGATAAAATTGAACTACTTGTGAAGGCAATCATTGAAACTTGCAAGCCTTCTTCTATAGTACAAGTTATTTATTCTGAGTCTCATTTATCTGCTGGCATTTTTTTGAATTTGAATTCATTTAGCCCGATTTGGCGCCCTATGGGCTCATGCAGGTGTCTACGAACTTTAATATTTACTTAGGAGGAAACCTTGCAGTAAGAATCCCCTTAGCTGTCTGATTGGACTCTACGCCATTATAGTCTTACCTCTAGGAAGTGCACTCACACTGTTGTTGCCAATGTGGATTCCGTCCTTGTCCTGTGTTTCCATTTTCCTCTTTTCGCCTGATTAACGCCTCGATTTCTCCGGTCATCCGAAACTGCTCTAACCATCCTTCCTTTTGAATCCACTGTGCAATTGTAGTCACATCTTTGACGTTATTTACCATAGCTTCGAAAGATCGGGTAGTCAATTTTCGTAGCAACTCACCTCGTCCCTTTGCCCATCTTGGACAAGACATCACCATGTGCTTTATATTTTGGGACGGATATCCACATTGGCAGCATGGTTTTCCTACGCCTGGCACATTCCTTCCGTATAGGTAAGCATTGAGCCCAGTGTGCCCGCTTCTTACTTGTGTCGCAATGCTGCTTAGGGCCCTGCTGAGGTGTATTTTTAGATCAAATGGTTCTAAGCTAAAGCTTTATATCCACAATGGGTCAAGGACTGGTGGAGCCGACAGGGTTCCCTGTATTATTTCCCACGGTCTAACTCGTTTTAACCTCTTGAATTGCTACCAAAAGTGCGGCTGATTAAACCGAAACGAAAAATCCCGAGAATCAAAACTACTCCGAAAGACAGAAGATTCATCCACATTGGACCCAAGCAATGTTCTCCTCACACATTCCCTCGCCTGTCACACCTTCCAAATGATAAGTTTACTCCGTCTTTGCTGAGAGCAAAAGATGGGTTAGCAGGCACCTTTAATCCAGCCGGTATCCTGATAATGGTTAGTAGATATCTGTGAGAGGCATCGTCGAGGTTGCTATGCCCTCAAGCTTCCTCTTTAGATTCCAGTACGTCGAAACCTACTCCCTCGGCCATAGAGATATCCTTCGCTGAGGCGATGATCGCCTCTTCGGCCCTTTTGGCTGCAGCCCGAGCTCGTGCCACCTCCGCGAACCTCCCTTGCTCGATGTGGCGAATACACGCGGACTGCTCCTTGGTCACCGGTCCCCCACAGTTGCTACACTTAGTGAGGGCCTTGCACTCGGCTTCCAAGTGAAAGATAGACCCGCAGTTCCAGCAGGCTGGAGCGCGGGAGCAACCACGGGTAGTGTGAAAGCCCAAACAGCGTTTGCAGTGTTCAATTTTCCGACGAGGCTTGTGAATGGTAGAAATACCAGATTTGTCGAAGAGGCGGAAGCCCGCACTTGGGCGGAATTCCGGGCAAAAAGGGCATACCAGTTTCTAGACGGGGCATCTGGATTGGCTCCTCTCGGGTTCTCTAGTGGATTTCAATTATGATACACTCAGCATCGACTGTACGAGAACTGTCGAGTGTTTGTAGTGTCGCAGGTACATTCACGATCTGAAAGGGGACAAGTTCGGAAGATTCTTCGAGTATGGCGTTGTGTTTCGCCAGCCTCGGAGCAGCACTGAGTAACCTTTACCTGAGAACTTCATCTTTTTCCTGATTCATATAGCCGGTTCTGACTCGAAGAAAGGAGATGGTTTCACTCAAGATTTCCTGCAGCTCAACTTGTACTTCAATCCGTGCGCAGCTAGGTGAGAGCTTGCGCCAGGGGCGGTCGTTGCCGAGACAAACGAAAAGTCGTTTGTCAACTTTCGCCTTCGGTGCGTCTTTTTTCGGGGCTATGACCGCAGGTTGCGGCACACCCTTCACAGTTGGGACTGATTTTTTTCGCAGTCTGTTTCTGGCCACCGTAGCCCAGGTGCTTTTGATAGGCAGAACTTGTATGGCGGGAATTTGTATGCTCCTGACATCGGGAGCCCTTGGGATGGGTTCCCCGGGCGAGGAGGGAGGACAGGTGGTGTGGATGCCGGGTCTGTGGCCATATATTGCGCAATGGCGGCGCGTAGGTAGACTCCCATGGAGTCTACGAATTGACTGTTTGACCCGTTGGTCAAAGTTCATGGGGGAGCATTCTCCGACGGTTTTGATGCGGTCGGCGGAGGTTTGGACGATTCTCCAATCCCGTGGGGGACGGAGGCTGGTTGAGGAATTTACTCAACCATTTCAACTGACCTGATCATGTCAGTAACCGTCTCAGCGACGGTGGGCAGGGCTATTTCCTTCCCTTTTATCGAGGCCTTGCTGATCTCCACGTATTTTGAACAATAGGCAAGGTCCGGCGTTTGTGCAGGCCCACGGGCGGACTCTCGTGTTGTCCAACAAGATGTTTGGATGCTTTATACGAACAGAAGGCATGTTGAAAATTCCAGATGCTCGATCACAATTAAAAAATTGATGCGGCGAGATTGAGATGGGTGGAAAAAAGGGAATTTTCGAATTTCTTGATTTGTGCGGTTGTTTATTGATTGACGCGCCAGGTAAAGTGGCTACATTCGCACTCCTACTGGAGCTTGAGCACAAGTGGGGTCGGGCCGGATCAGGTTAACTACCGTAAAGTACAAGTGCCTCGTCCCACCTAAATGACCGGACCACCTCAGACTTCACCCATGTGATGAATCATGTCAAGCCCGACCGTCCAGAGAACGCCCTTTTGGCGCGCCGAAGCGCAAATTCCTCCTCAGCCTCGGCCACCACGCGCCCGAGCCCTTGACATCCTCATTGACTCCGAAATATAAATGCCGTCCAAGATCTCATCGTTGCTCTAGCATTGCACCTTTACATCGTACCGTTGGGTAGCTTTCGTCATTGGGGATTTATTTAATCCCCTCGGTGTATCTTCCCTTTTATTCCTCCTTTTCACACGTCCTGTTTCCATCATGACTTTCCTCATTAGGATGTGAGTAGTAAGGTGACGTCACGAGTATAGAGGTAGGTCGCAGGTGTGAGATCAGCTGAGAAATGGATCGTCGCAAATATATAAGGAGTTTGAGAAATGTCGAATGTTTGAATACGACCCCCAGAAGGACCTAAATCTATTCGTGAATCGTATGTTGGTGGTAATGAGTTTTTAAACGACTTTGTTGCGGCTGTGAAATCTCTGCCGGCTGATTTTTCGACCAAAATATCGAGTGCAACTCCTTCAAGTCAAAAACCCATCAAATAAAATTCATCCCACCCTTTTTCGTGACTGAATCTCGGCTTTGGGATAATATTCCACTCTCAGGTCCGTATGGGCACCACTGATAGGTGTTCAGCCTTAGTCCTCCGCTCTGCTAAGATTTTGTTTATTTGCTGATAGTTTTTGTGACTGGTATGGTGGCCGAGAATTAGGTTCCTTCATATCAAATTCTAAACCAGGGTTAATTCCTAGGGTAGTGATTTACAAGTTAGATGAAACAGGTAGCTTAAACTCGGTACTTCCAACATAGATTTTTGGGGCTAATCTTCACTTTTCGGGTCTGCATAGCACAAATAAACTAGGGAGGTTTAAAGCCGAAACCCATCATTTATTTTTTTGATGAATCTGAAGAAAAAATTCAAAGAAACTCCCATCAACAACAAAATACTTGACAATGATGGCTAGACACTTCTGTGCGATGCCCCGTAAGATTCTGGGGAAGATTATTCCCCAGGTCCGAGATCTGGACGTGGAACGGGTTTAATTGAGAGTTACCACCGAGACGTCGGGCGGGAAGATCAGTTTTTCCGATATTCTGGAAATGATGAAGAATCCACATGGATTAGATACTGACCTTCGCGCGCCCGAGTTCCTGGGTGAACTTCATTACATAATCATTATTACTGAACAGTCTTTCACTAACCAAATTGATTCCGGATTTAGCATCTTGACAGGTACCGTGCAGGAGGGTCTGCTTACTAACATTCTATAACATGCATATGAGAATCAAACCCAATCCATTTTCACACGTCCAACACTGCTGCCCGTAAGTTCAGGTACCTGAAAGTCTCTATTATGAGTGGGAGAACTATCCTGGACCTAGTCGCGGTTCTGAATGCAACTCGCCTTGTTGCAAAAAAGCATGTATTGTTGAGGAAGAACCAAATCGAGCTCTACAGCAGGAGCTCAAGTCTAGCGGAAGCAGTATGCAATCAAGCAGAGAAAGTCTTAAATCCAGTTAAACTAGCGCCGGACAACGGATCCAATCCCAACGACTCTATATCAAGACGGACCCGGGCTAAAGGGCTCAAAAATAATGAAAACTCTCGTGAACCGAGTACGGCATCCAATGCCGAACACACCAGTGCGTCTTCAATTTCATTTCAGAAGCAAGGGCCGCATATGAATGAAGGCATAAATAAAGTATCTGAAAACACCTCATTATCTGAATTAGCAAAAGTTACAAACGATGTACAGCAGGAAGCAACAGAAAAGATTATTGCAGATGAGAAAAAACACCTGAAATCAACTTCTGTACATGCAAAGCACGGAGGAAATTCTGGAGATCCAAAAGTCATGAAAGATCAATCGGAGCAGTTATTGATTCCCAAGGAAATAAATACGAATCTATTTCATAGCCAGCGAGTGGCCAGAATGTTGGGTGGCAAGATTCAGGGCAACCTAAAATCGAACCTCGAACCTCGAACCTCGGTCAAGGCACCTATTGACTTGGAGGACTTTGCTACTTCGAGGGTCGATCATTCTCTCTTGACCACCTCCAAGACCTCTGAAACGCAAGTTCAGAGAGGGAAAACGACATCGCCTACCACGAACACTAATTCGAAAGACTTGAAAGAGACGACGACTTATGAGGCGCCTCCACATGCGAGCAAGAACTTAAGGGAATCAGAAGTTCCCTCCTCAAGAATATCTCGTCTCTGGAATTATGGAGGTTTGGCCGCTGGTATGCTCGGAGGCGTAGTTAGTGAGAGTATTCGACGAGCTGCGAGTGGTGGTAAGAGTGAAGGATCTTACCTTCTAACAGCTGGTAATATGGATAGGCTTGTAGCAAAACTGTCGCGGATGAGAGGTGCTGCACTAAAACTAGGTCAGATGCTCAGTTTCCAAGATTCAAAAGTAATTCCTGCTTCAGTTCAGGAAGTCTTACAAAGGGTTCAGGATCATGCAGACTACATGCCCTCCTATCAGCGGGATCAGGTCTTGATTGAGAATTTAGGTCCAGGCTGGCGAGATCTATTTTCCTCCTTCGATGAAACTCCCCTGGCTGCAGCTTCTATAGGTCAGGTACATCGCGCTATACTAAAATCTAACGGTATTCCGGTAGCTGTAAAGATACAGTACCCCGGTGTCGCAAATTCTATCGACTCGGACCTCAACAATCTGAAAGTGCTTCTCATGGCGTCAAAGCTACTTCCAAAAGGCTTATATCTAGACAAGACAATTGATAACGCTCGAACTGAACTGGCGTGGGAATGTGACTATGAAAGGGAAGCAGAATGTGGTCGCCGTTTCAAACATCTTCTTCATGATGAGTCCGACGTCTTGGTTCCCGAGTTTTACGCAGAGGCGTCAGGGAGACAAGTTTTGACTATGGAGTTTATGAATGGTATTGGCATTACGAAGATTAAAGGATTAACTCAGGATCAAAAGGATTGGATTGGCACACAGGTCCTACGACTCTGTTTACGAGAAATCACCGAATTTAAATTCATGCAAACCGATCCAAATTGGACAAACTTTTTGTTCAATACTGAAACCCAAAAATTAGAGCTTCTTGACTTTGGAGCTTCCCGGGAATATCCTGTTGACTTTGTTACCAAATACTCACAGCTCTTGGCAGCAGCGTCTAAATCGGACAAAAGTTCGATTAGGGACATTTCAATCAGCCTGGGATATCTGACAGGCTATGAATCAAAGAAAATGTTAGATGCACATGTTACCTCAATCCTTACTCTTGCAGAACCGTTCCTCGAAACCTCTCCATCTGTTTACGACTTCAGAGACCAAACAATCACAGACAGAGTTCGAGAGTTGATTCCTGTCATGATGAGAGAGAGGCTAGCACCGCCTCCAGAAGAAACTTACAGCTTACATAGGAAGTTGAGCGGTGCTTTCCTGCTGTGTGCTAGATTGGGTAGTCGAGTTCCGTGTAGGAAATTGTTTGAAGGTAGTTTCAGTAGATCCCAATTATTATGAGATTCTATGCCCTTGTGTTAGGCTATATCGGCAGGTCTAGATGAGGCCTTTTCCTCATACTTGTGTCCTAATAGAGCTGCTATTCTTTTTTGTAATTATGTAGATCTTATTCGGCTTGTCGCCTTGAAAATGGCATTTTTTTCTTTTCTCTCCCATCAACCTTCTTTCGCCGACGTTCGATGACTCGATCTAACTGTTTTCCTTTCAAGCCAGCGAATCGGTCAAGAAGTATTTGTTTCTTCTGCTCTGATTTTTTGAGATAATAAGGCTGTTTCCCTTGCTTTACTAGTTCCTTTTCTTCTTTTTTATGCCGGTCAACTACCTCCTGTTCTTTCAATTTCTTCATGTTTGCCTTTTGCCGTGATTCCATTGCCATAAGCGTCTTCTTGAGTTCTTCTTTTTTTTCCAGGTCTTTGGTTGCTTTGATAGCCGTCTTTAGCTCATTTATCTCGTCCTCACGATATGTATCCAAGAAGGAATATGCAGCATTGACCCGTGATCTATCTACTGGTCCACTAATAAGTTCAAAACGTGGGTCCCGAGGTTTACGGTAGGCAGTTGCGACGACGTCTCTCCGCCGAGTCACAGCTTTCTTGCTTGAAACTTCAGTCGGAGCATGCTTGTTGGGACGGCTTAGCTCGGCCTGGTGTGATTTCTCTGATGTGCCTCTTCGTACTTCTTCCTCATGATCCGACTGCTTATTGCTGGCTTTGGTAGTTTTTTTGTCCTTGAGAATGCTCGGAAAGCTCGCCTGTGCTTCGACTAGGGCACCAAAAGATATGCTAGCGGCACCGATGGGCAGTGCGCGAGCATCTCCTGTATCAACCTATGGTGAGGACTTAGCAGGTGAAAGAGTCCTTCAAAGATTTGGTGGATAGTTCCACTTACTTCGGACTCGCTGCTATCGTCTACAGATGCATCTGTTTGCCCGTCGGATGGAATCGAGACGCTCACGTCAATCTCTTCGCTTGCTTCGCGCTGGGCCCGGATCCGCCGCTGGTATTTAGCGTCGCCGGTGCGGCGCTTCAGTAACATTTGAGGAATCAACAGGGAAAATGAGCTTGATTCTATGAGTGAGTAGTAGAAATGCTGAAATCCCAGAGTTGCAGAGGGATGTGCTGTTGGCCTAGGCGTAGGGATTGTTCTTTCGTGTGGTGGTGGCTCGTATGCCTGGGCAAGTGGTCATTGTCGTGCCCGTGTAAAGTGAAAGAGTTACGCAGGCTGAATGGTGTAGTGGTACACCACTCGGACTCTTCCCCAAAGTAGATTATGGTACCCTGAACACCTACCCCATCTAAGAGAAGAGAAATCTGACTCGCTTCCAGTTTGACCCACACACGACATTGTCTCGTGGTGACGTCGTGTATGTAAGGCGACAAAGCACACTCGTACCACGCTCGTACCACGGGCTTTTGACACTTTTCCCCATGAACTGTTTGAACTGGAGAGGTTACACGCCGAAAGGGTTAAGCTCAAGTGGTACCTGCAAATGATATCTAAGAGTTAATTTTCCAAACGTCAAATTGGGTTATTCGACCTAAAATATATGTCGTCCAAAAATATCTGTATGGGCCTCAAGGCGCCAAATCAGGATAATTGAAATATTTATAAGAGATACGTTCGGTTAAGTCACAAGTCAGAGGGCAATCACAAAACACCTATCCGCGGTGACACAGAGTAAGTGTGTGTTTTTTTGTACTACTTGAGTCTATGACTATCTAGCACATTGGGCTCCTCTCTGATCCAGGCAACAACTTGTACAGTGCTCCTTGCCTCTTTTGTTACTTGCAAGATCATTGATATATTCCCCTTGATGAATAGCCATTCAGCTCAGTGTTTACCTGTGTAATTCGGCCACCTTTTCCACGGAACCTTCTACCCCCAAAAATTAAAATGGTAGCAATAGAAACTGCGTGCGCGGGAAAAAGGCTCAAAAAGCCTGCAGCACCAGCCAGGCGAGGCCTAGACACCGGGACTACACGAGGTGCGCATATTCATCTATGTCTCCCTTCTTTGTGACAGTCGAGGCCGACTTGATCCAATCCACCATCTCCGTATCGAGTGCTGGGTACGTTCTGGAACCTCTTTGAGTGGCTTCTCCTCCATGATCAAGGGTTGGTGATTAGTAGGGCTCCGACCCTACCATCTGATCTGATCGTGGTCAGGTTCATGATAATGGTGATAGGGGGATGTGTTGAGAGATGAAGACGATACAGACGGCGAAAGTGATTGGAAATCCTCGTTGAAGTGAGGACTTTGTTATTCAATCTCGGCTTTGCAGACTCTACAGTGAGAGCTGGAGGTTTATAGGGGACACCACTGACAGGTATTGAGAAAAGTCCCCCTATACGGTTACTTCGAAACTGGGAGTGAAATATTCTCCCAGCGCCAAGATCAGTTGAATTTCGCAAAACCAACGGATTTATCTCAGAAGGCAAAGATTCAACGTACTCCACCATGTCAATCTTTAACTTTCATTGAGATCTATTCCAATATAAGCCTCATAGAGTTTGCAAGTAGAGCCTTGATTATGTGTCATAGCCGTATAAGTGCATATGCTGTCAAAAATTGACATTGCTACATAGCTGAATACACTTGAAATTAAAACAAAAAAAAGTCTGCAAGTACAATCTAGTTCATCCTCATTTCAATGACCACACCTCTCGTCAACTATTCTCTGGCCTCATATGGCCTCCAAAAACACCCTCACGGTGATTTTTAAATATCCGAAGGAGACAAGTCGTGGCGCACAAATCTTGGACGTAGATCTTCGGAATAGTCGGGAGTTTTTTGTTTTGTTCATTTACGTGCTAGGTATAGTGACTACCGCTGCACTCCTGCTGGAGCTTAAGCACGGGTGGGGCTGGATCAGGTTAACTACCATTAAGTACATCTACCTCGTCCCGCCTGAATGACTGGACCACCTCAGACTTCGCCCATCAGTTGAATCATGTCAAGCCCAACCATCCAGAGATCCCCCTTTTGGCGCGCCGAAGCGCAAATTCCTCCTGCCTCGGCCACCACGCGTCCGAGCCCTTGACACCACCGCGATTTGTACCTTTTCCCTTCGCTTCATTCCCAGCTTTGGCTCATCTCATCCAGGGGTCGTTTTCTTCACTGGAGGCCTCATCCAGTCGCCCAAAAATGCCTCCTCAGTTTGTATTAAGTTTTGTTCCTTCATGCAGCATTCCTTTGTCCTTCAGCCGATCTTGTCATCCCAGAAACATTGTAGGATATCCACCCCTCCGGCCTTGCCCCGTCGCTGCCGTACCCCTAACCGTGGAGGTCGAAAACGTGACTGAGAGCTCAAGACCGAAGCACCGAAGCCCCAGCCTTTGTCGAACGCTCTGGTTGGTGTGCCGGCGAAATGTCGTACGTATTTCACAGGTGGCGATTCGCCGCAGGTCGAGTTGTTGGTGCCCTTGGCCGAGGTGAGGACGCATCTAAGGCCAGTATTTCGATAGCACCTTCACAACGACTCGCAGTTGTGTAGGGTCGGATATCCTCTTGCTTCTTTAATGGCGATTTGGCTTTTGGAGGTATGAGATTGCTTTGATAGGTGATGAGATGATTGTGGAGAGGGCCGCAAGATGAGTTTGGCTGGGAATGAATTTCCAGAAAAAAAAGAAAATAGGATCTTGAAGGTGTCGGTTGTTGTGATACGAACATCAGACAGTTTATAGGCTGTCTGCGGTCCGTATCTGGGGTGTAGACGGTTGATTTCGTTGAGTTGTGCAGTCGTGAAATCTCTGCAAGTCGGATTTTCGACCAAAAATTTGCCAACACCACTCCTCCCGATCGCCAACTCGACGAAAACTCTCAAATTCACCCTTTGCCGTGACTGAATCTCGGCTCTGGGAGAATATTTCACTCTCAGGTTCGTAGAGGACACCACTGACAGGTGTTCAGCCTTCGTCCTCCAGAATAGATGGGAGTGTTACAATGTATGTCTTTTACTAGGCGCTTATTTTTTTTTTAAATCATTTGATGTGTATTCAGCTATCTAGCTATGACACATGACCGGTGCTATGTATACATGTTGGATGACTCTTTTGACGTTAGAGACACTCATACTCTGTATTTCATTTGCAAATACCACTGTGAGGTATGTTCGCTTACACAAACAGTCGATCCTCCTCCGTAAGTACCCACCAAAGGGAATTTAAAAACCTTTGATTATCCAAGCATGCCTTCGTCATCCATGCATACCAGCGCCGCGAGAAATGTGGTTGTGTTTTGCTGGATTTGAACCAGCGATCTACTGTCTCAAGTGGGATATGTGTCCAAGCTATCCAGACTCTACTTGGCAGACCGACCAAGACGATGTACCACTGCACCATCCAACCATGGCGGTGTTTATAGTGTCGCCTGCACTCTCGCAACCGAAGCCTTGGCACGCACAAAGCTCAATTTGTAAAAACTCCTTTCCAATATTCAAAATTCCACGCCCGTCGAGACTGTTGCCATCATTCGCATCATCTTGTTGAACTTGTCCTGTATCCTCTCACGTCCATCCCAAAGAACTGTCTCCCAGATTTGTGCGCCACGCTTTGTTTCCTCCGTCGGGTGTAAATTTCGGCGTGGGCGTGTATCTGGCGACCAGCTGAGGCTAAAGAAAGTCGACGAGAGGTGTGATCATTGGAATGAGGATGTACTAGGTCGTACTTGTAGACTTAATTAGACTTATGTAGGATTCGATCTCTTTGGGACTGAAAGATTGACGTGGTGGAGTTATTTAAATCATTGCGTCATGGGCCAACTTGTTCAGTATTGCGAAATTTGACTGAACTTGGCTCTGGGAGAATATTTCACTCCCAGGTTCGTAGAGGACACCGCGTACAGGTGTTCAGTCTTGCCCTCCTACTAGGCGCTTAGTGCGGTGCGTCTCTCTACTGCTGAGTCATTGTCTTTATGACTCGGCCAATACCGCGAAGTAGACGTCCGCAGTGTTCATAGATAGAGAAACAAGAACAACAAGAATCCATACCTCAACTTTTGTACCTTTCGTTTTGCATTGAACTAACCTCACGTATACGTAAAATAAGGCCAATCAACAGGGAGTGATATTAGAAAAGATTGGCAAGACAAATCAAAGTGTGGCTACAACCACGCTAGGTACGGTATTTCGAATTTTGGCTAGAAGTTTTACCAATTGAAACGCATTTTGTGCGCTAGGTCTTTGATCGCGAAAGCATATCTGACACTATGAACACAAGCAAACGATGGAAGGTGTTGTGGTCCGCCTCCTGGTGGTGTTCTCTGTTATAGTTTCACTAGCCTGGGCACATAATTAAATTAAGAAGACGCCTCAGATCATATCTCGTGCGGAGAAAATATAATGGACGATGGTGACATATCTGGATAATCTATGGTTTTGGAGATGTTTTCTTGGGTGTGTAATCACAGGTGAGGGTTGTCTAGGGATGAAAAATAAGCCACCAAAACTTTGTAGTGGTACTTGCAAATGAAATACGAGGCATGAGTGCTCTACTTTAAAATTGAGACATTTATCGTGTACTTTGTCTCTAAAATTTTGTCATATCAAATAGCTACATTCGCAGTTAAAATCCGAACAAAAATACAACGAGATACCTTCTAGTTTAGTCCTTGTGTTGGTGTCAGCATAGCTTCTTACTTAATCAGTTTGTGCGCTTTCCCGGCCGCCATACACCTACAGATGGACTTCTTTCTTGAATGGAAAGAGGAACGCTAAAAGTCAAACATCTCCTAAAAGTATATTATAGTATGACCACCCTTGAGAGGTATTGTAGAAGGGAGCTTGAGAGAAACGAAAAGTATACATGATCTATAGGTAGAAAGAGCCAATATGTATCGTCGGTGTCATGGATCAAGGAACAGGCGCTGGTGCAACCATGTGGTCGATAATATATAAATTATCATTCTGAAGAGAAAACTACTTCAGTCTCTATCTATACATATATATATATATATATATATATATACATTGTCTATGTGTTTGAGGCACAGTCCTTCCGTCTCGGTTCCAATGGTATTCTTCACATGTGTTGATCCTAGTTGTTATAACATCTCAATGTGTTGTAGCTGTATAGTTCAATACTGCTGCCCTGCCAAACTAGATGCCAATGCCTTGATATTCTGTTGAGTGGCATCATATATCC